CTGCTGTCTTAAGCAACCAAAGCCGCTTTCATGGTGTCCCATGAGCGTCGAGGTGGGCGTCTTAACTCTGCGTTTGGTTCATCCCACAGCGCCAGTTCTGCTTACCAAAAATGGCCCACTTGGCACTCTGATTCGAAGATGCTCGTGGCTTCATAATTCAAGAAAGCCAGAGAATCTCACCCATTTAAAGTTTTGAGAATAGGTTGAGGTCGTTTTGGCCCAAAGGCCTCCAATCATTCGCTTTACCAGATGAGACTCGCGCGCGTTCCGTGCGGAACGGCCGAGTGCCAGCTATCCTAAGGGAAAATTTGGAGGGAGGGAACCAGCTACTAGATGGTTCAATTAGTCTTTCGCCCCTATACCCAGTTTCGACGATCGATTTGCACGGACTCCGCGGGACATCGCCGACCGACGCGAAGCCAGCGCCGCTGACGATGAATCTCCCCGTTCGATTTTTGGTTTCTTAGGTTTACCCCTGAACGGTTTCACGTACTCTTGAACTCTCTTTTCAAAGTTCTTATCAACTTTCCCTCACGGTACTGTTCGCTATCGGTCTCGTGGTCGTATTTAGCCTTAGATGGAGTTTACCACCCACTTAGAGCTGCACTCTCAAGCAACCCGATTCTAAGGAGAGATTCTCCCGAGGCGCGCACCGGTCGCAACGGGCCTGGCACCCTCTACGGGTAAGTGGCCCCATTCAAGAGGACTTGGACGCGACGCGGCACCTCGGGATAAGCGGATCCTTTCGAACACCAAATTTCCCTGCGCGGAACCGCGGGATTCGGTGCTGGGCTCTTTCCTGTTCGCTCGCCGCTACTAAGGAAATCCTGGTCAGTTCTTTTCCTCCGCTTAATAATATGCTTAAATTCAGCGGGTAATCTCGCCTGCTCTGAGGTCGTCGCATAGTGAATTTTCGTAGCCGTTTGCCTCCTCCGCGTCGCTCATCGTCGTCTTCCTCTATAATATATAAGAGGGAGAGAGAGAGAGCGTCGACGAGAGAGCAGCAGCGGCAGCACACGAAATACGCGAGAAGGCAAATCGCCGGGGCGCTAACCGCACACACACTCGTTGGTGGTAATGGAGACGATATATCGCGGGGTTCGAAATTCTCGGCTCTCCTTTCTCTTTTATATACGAAATTCGGGCGGAATCGATTCGACGAGTACACGACGCGGCGCGCCGGTCCTTTTTTTTTGCTTTACGAAAATTTCGTGGACTCGGACACGTGGTCGGCTCGCGATTCAAAACCCTTCTCCGTAAAGAGGTAAAGGATTACGAATGCTCTCTCCGCCGGACGACGACGCGCCGTATATTTCTCCGTAATACCGTTATGTGTGCGGGCAAGGGCGCCTCAGCATAAGACGCGCGAGCGCTATCGCACCGAGAGACGCGGCACAGAGTGCGAGAGCAGTCGGTCAGTCTGTGTGATGTACGGAGAGGAGAGACGGTAAGACATGCGCTACCTACTTTCGGGAGACAACGACGCACGCGCCGCTCTAGGGAAAGCGGTGCCATTCACCGCCCTGACCCTTTTTTGGCCGTTTGTTGCTCCTTTCGCGCGCGCTCTTACTCTCATCCCATTTCTCCTCGGCTCTCGCGTACACACACGACTTGGATACACAAACACGCTCCCCCTCTTAATTCGCGCAGCATTCTCTGGGCGCGCGTTCGCCAACGTTTTACACGCTTGTGCGCTTCTCTTTCTCATTATTATTTCGGTGTGTCATTTCAGACGACGCAAGGATTTGCGCCGCGGCTGGTCGGCGCGGCACAGACACCTCGGGCGAACGTCCAACGATCGCTCGTACACCCATTGTAAGCGTTGCACAGAGCACAGGCGACGCGCGCGCCATTCTCTGGTCGCCCGCGTCGTGGCCGTGCGCGCTTTTCGGGCGCAAGCAGTTTAGGGGTACTAAAACGACTCTCAGCCAGGCGTGGTCCGGGAATTGTATCCGTGGACCGCAATGTGCGTTCGAAATGTCAATGTTCATGTGTCCTGCAGTTCACAAGTTGTGCGAGAACCTTCGATTTGTTTTAATTTTCCGCGCAGAGGCAAATTTATTTATTTATAAGTCGGCTCGTAGATACGAAGGAGACTGGATGCGGAGAAAATTGTAAAGGTGGAGAAATTCACTTTTGAGGCAAAGCAGTTTTATTCAAAACTCTCGCAGACAAGATTAAAACGCGGAAGTTCGCTCTAGAACGAGATAAATTCGCGCGATGCTCTTTTCGCTGATATACACGGAGACGTCTCTTCAGTTCAGACTCCTCGAGTAGACTCATTCTTGATCCTCGCGGAATTCGGCAGCTAAGGGGCGATCGATCATCCGATCGACGCGTGGCACACGTGCTGAAATCCTATTCGCGGACGATTGCCCCATCACGCTCCGAAACGCGAGACAAAGGCGAGTTTTTGTAGATTCCTCGCTCGCGGAATCGAAAACAACCGGAATAACATCTCGGCGTCGAATATTTTCAATTTCTACGATTGACCTTGCTTCGTCGCTCCGAAAATACGTGACAATTTTAAACACAAGTTGACGCGCAATTAGCTGCGTTCTTCATCGACCTACGAGCCAAGTGATTCACCGTTCAGGGTAATCGTTCGAAATTTTTGCGTTCGCGAAGAGAAACGCGCTTCTCGTTCAACCATCGTGGTCTCTTCTCTCGGACGAGAGAGAGAGAAAGAATAATCGTGGTGGCTCTTCGATCAGGCTGTCCGAGGACGCGCGCGGACCGCCGCCTCCCGCCAGGGAAGGCTACGGCACAAAGGTAGAGTTGTGTGTTTCTCGATCGGAGCGTCTCTCCCGCAACGGGAGAGCCGGGGCGGAAGCTTTTTGAAGAAACCGTCGGACCGACACAGTTGACAGATAGTCGAAATATCATCGATCCTTCCTGTATTATACAGGGTGATTCAAAACAACCGTTTGTCTTTAAAATGTCGTATTCCTGACTCAATTTAAAGACGATTTTTCCTTTGCCAAAATTTTATCCGAAGCTTAGTTTTTGAAATATAAAAAGAAATAGTTAGCGAATTACAGCACGAGTACGGGCGGTAATCAGGAGCGGCGCACCACATTATCCGACGCGGGCGATTACGTGGGCGCTCGAAGCGATCAGCTGTTTGTTACACGCGGCGTTTTGTGTGTGTGTGTGTGTGTGTGTGCGTGTGTGTGTACGCGTATACACACACACACACACACACTCTCTCTCTCTCTCTCTCTCTCACTGATTCTTACCTTGTAGAGATGTTTGATGTCCTTTGACGAATAATTGTTGCCTGACTGGATACAATCCGATATTGACACACTGTGACACACTGCATGATGAAATCATTTTTTTGTAATAAATTCTATTGACACTTTGACTCACGCACTTGATTAAAAATTATTGTAATAAATAACTGATTACAAATTACAACACATAATCACAATCTGAGAGAATTTTCTCTTAGAATTTGCCCTGAAAATTGTGGTAATCGTAGGATAATATTGTATGGAAAAAATTTTATTAGAATTCCTCTAATTAATATTTATCACATTCAAAATAATAATATCTATCACAATAAAATATGAAACATGTTTTATTAATTTTACTAAACCGTAAAGTAAAATTAATGAAATATATTTTATATTTTATTGTGATTGTTTTTCCTTTTATTTAATTTTAATAACAGTAATTTTATTGTATCATATCAGATTTGTACACTGTATCTGGTTCCGACGCTTCGGACCCTTTTGATAGACTATTGAATACGTGATTGAGGTTCGATTGTCGTTCTTCAAGAACAAAGAAAGACAGGATATCGCGGATCCGTTACAAGCATACCGCTTTATCGTTGGGTGCTCTTGACTGTGTCTTTGGGCTAACTGAACTCTTTTTTTAACCTCGGGGAAGACAACCGATTCGGAATCACGAGCTTTGCATGAACTCGGCGCGTGACACGCGCGCGGCTAATCGTGATTCGCTGGCCGGTTGACCTGTCGATGTCCGCTCGAGGTGCCAAACAAAGTCGATCGTTGGTCGAGCCTTGAGTCCCTGGCTTCGACTCGGAACCAGAACAATATATATATATATTTTTTTTTCTCGACAGCTTTGTTCCAAGTTTTAAACATACCGCCCGCCTCGCATGCGAACCGATGCGAAATCATTCCACAGGTTTGAGTCGTTATAATGTGTCAAAATGAGCAATCGATGTTAAACTCGCTGAATGACCTTTGAAAGGGCGAAACCTTATAATCTTCGCGACGACGTGACTATGTGACAACAAATAAAATTTGCGAACAATGAGCACAGCTTGCTTAGAACGTGCGAAGTATTTACTTTCTCGAAATTTCGAGTGCAAATAGGGACGGATATCTATACGAAGGTCGTCCGTTCGGATAACACAGTTATCTTCAACCGAAAGACCAGCGAACCGCTGTTGCAAACAAATACAAACTCTTCCCTAAATCTAGATTTAATCCACTTACAAATTTTCGTATAATACGGAATTAATTATCACAATTAATCAGGAGACGGCAAAGCAGCGTGATTGGTCGCTTGAACGAGGAGCACGCGGTGCGTATCGTTACTACCCGAACGAGCCCGTCGGATCCGGGGTGGATCTGTGTAACTCGAGCGAGTTCCCACTTACTCGGAGGGAGCAGTGGGTTCTTTACGAGCACAAGCTCACCGACGCAAAAACTCGCAGTCTTATCCTTCCATTTGCTTCGTTGCTGCAACGAATGCAAATAGTCAAGAGACCAAGCACGCCAGACTCGCTCGTGCATTGCGTTGACGAGCTGCCATCGAGAGAGTCGATTCTCGTTTACCGCGAGTACTGATTCTTCCGGTACTGCGGTTATTGATCGACCTATAAGAAAATGACCCGGCGTGAGTGCTAACAAATCGCTCGGGTCGTCGTTTAACGCAGCAATGGGACGCGAATTGAGACATGCCTCGACTCTGCAAAGTAGTGTTGCAAATTCGACCTGAGACAAGGTACGCGGACCCACTACCTTTTTCAAGTGCGTTTTTAGACTTTATTCCCGCTTCCCACAGACCGCTAAAGTGCGGTGCTGCGGCTGGGATGAAATGCCATTCCACTCGGTCGTTTGCAAGAGTGGCTCGTAGCGAAATGTCGTTGGTCAATTTGTCAAAAGCCGTTTTTAATTCCCGGTCCGCCCCGTGAAAGTTCGTGCTGTTGTCGCTGTAGAGTTTTTGTGGCAATCCTCGTCGACTAACGAATCTTCGAAAGGCCGCTATAAATCCCGCAGAGGAATAATCCTCAACGAGCTCTATGTGGATAGCCTTCGTCACAAGACAGATAAACAAGGCGATGTAACTTTTACGTGTCTTTTGTCCTCTACCGACTAATGAAGTAACAAGGAACGGCCCGGCGTAATCTACTTTCGTATGCGTGAACGGAGATGATGGATTTACGCGAGGGGAGGGAAGGTCTCCTATAAGTTGATTTGATAGTTTGTTCGCGTAACGAGCACACACGACACATTGTCTAATGCAATGTTTTACGGCATTACGACAACTTAATATCCAATATTTTTGGCAGAGTGTTCTAAGCACAAGTTGAGTTCCTCCATGAAGTGAGCTTCGGTGCGTTTGATCAATTAATAACTCGGCTACTCGACCCCGAGGAATTAAGATAGGGTGTTGTTCCTCGAAGGATAGTGCGGAATTCCGTAACCGCCCGCCGAAACGTAGTAAGGAATCTTTTCTTATGAAAGGATTAAGAGGCTTCAGTGGGCTCTTTCGCGGAAGGTTTTCTTCTCTCTTTAATGCTTTGAGTTCGGAGTCGAACGACTTCCTCTGCGTATATGAGACCCAAAACATTTCCGCGCGTTTAAGTTCGTCCGCGTTAAGAGACAACGCAACATTAGCTTCAAAATTCCTTTGTTTAGCGGAGCGGGATATAAATCTGTAAGCGTAGGCTGTCACTCGAATGAGCTTAGTCCAGGAGGAGTATCTATAAGGGAGATCCCATTCCGGTGTACCTTCCACGTGAAGGACAGTGGACTTTCGACTTTCCGAGTGTATTTGCTTAGTTAACTCCGTGGAGATCGGAGAAGCAATGTTATGTGGCGGCCACGCTGTTGAAGGCCATTGAAGCCAAGGCGGGCCCGCCCACCATAACGGATGTGAGACTAACTTGGATGCGTACAACCCTCTGGATGCACAGTCGGCCGGATTGTCTTTGGACGGTACGTGATTCCATTTGGCCGAGGGTAGATTACACTGCACCTCGGATACTCTGTTTGCTACGTACGTAGTCCATTTCGATGGATGTTGGCGTAACCATGCCAACGCGATCGTGGAGTCCGTCCAACAATGGATCGGACAATGAATAATATTTAATGACTTAATTACCCACTTAACGAGTCGACTCAATAAAACAACGGCGTTGAGCTCGAGCCGCGGAATGCTAACAGTCTTGACGGGAGCCACCTTCGACTTCGCAACGATCAAGCTAACACGGTATTCCGAAAGAGAATGGAAAACGCGCAAGTATACGACCGCAGCGTACGCGCGATTTGAAGCGTCGGCGAATCCATGTATTTCTAACGCGAGATTATCAGGGCTCTGACCCGTCCACCGAGGAATTCTAACGGATTCTAATTGCGGGAACTCGGAAGCGAAAGCATTCCACCGTTGACTCAATTCGTTCGGAAGCGGAGCATCCCAGTCGCAATGTAAAAGCCATAGCTCTTGCAGAATGATTTTTGCGTTTATTACAACCGGCGCAGCCCATCCGAGGGGGTCATACAAGCTCGCGATGCACGACAGGATTGAACGCTTAGTTAACGCGGTAGGAAAATTAAATTTCACAGTAAGGCGGAAGGAGTCTTCCGTAGGGAGCCATGATAATCCGAGTATTTTCAACGTTTCGTCCTTTAGGATAAGGTGATCGGTAACGTCCGATTGATCGCTGGATAAATCGTCAAGAAGCTCGCTACAGTTTGAAGCCCATTTACGAAGTGAAAAACCTCCGCGCCTCATTAGCTCAGCGAGCTGAGTTCGCGTATTTATTAACGAATCGATATCGTTTGCTCCGAACAATGCGTCGTCCACGTAAATGGAATCATTGACGATCGGTACCGCGGCAGGAAACTTTGCACCTTCATCAAGCGCGAGCTGTCGAAGCACGCGCATCGAAAGATAAGGTGCCGATGCTAAACCATACGTCACTGTAAGAAGGCGAAAATGAGTAAGCGGAGCGTCATCCGTCGGACGTCACAGGATTCTTTGGTAATCGACGTCCCGCGGATGTACGCGTATTTGTCGAAACATCTGGCGATGTCTGCCGTATAAACCAAGCGCCATGCACGCCAACGCAATAAGACGGCAGGGAGATCCTGCTGCAACTTTGGCCCGATGAGCAAATGGTCGTTAAGTGACGTGCCATTCCGGGTTTTACACGACGCGTTAAATACGACTCGAAGCTTTGTGGTGCAACTATCCTCTCTTATTACTGGATGATGGGGAATATAAATCGGTATATTCTCAGTGGGTTCGGACTCGCCAACGCGAGTCATATGTCCAAGGGCCTCGTATTCTGTAAGAAAGTCTCTGTATAGCGAACAGAGATCGGATTTTGAATTCAATTTATTTTCCAGACGACCGTACAATGTACGCGCTATGGAGAGAGATTCCCCGATATCGATCGGCAAAGCATTTTTGAAAAGTAATCTCACGACATAACGACCGTCAGGATCACGACTGTGCGCGAAATGACGACCGTCAGGATCACGACTGTGCGTTTGAGCGAAATGAGATTCGCATTTTTCTTCCTCCTCCGTGAGGGAAGTTGGCGTGGGAATCTCTTTGTCCTCCCAGAATTTCTGGAGGAGAGAGTCCACATCCAGCGCGGATACGCAATTCAAAACAGTTACTTCTTGTGAAGTAGTTTCTTTACTTCCGGTCGGTCCAGAGATTATCCAACCGAACGAGGTCGATTGGGCAGTGGGCGCTCCATAGGGGCCCTGTCTCAGGTCGCGCAATAAGAGCGAACCGTACACGTCCGCGCCGATCAGCATGTGAATCTGATGTCGACTAGATGGATCCGGATATGCTAGTGAAAGGCCCTGTAAATGAGGCCATGATTCTATAGGCCGAATTCGCGACGTGGCGTACGAAGTTATTCGCGGGAATACATACGCAGTGACCGGAAAAACAGGATTCAATTTTTCGCACGGCGTCAAATTTAGCGAAACTCTCGATCGCGCAGAACCGGCATATTTCTCCCCGAAACCTTTTATTTGAAGATCGGTCCTCTGTCGTTTAGTGCGAAGCGTTTGACTCAATGCTTCGGAAATAAAGCTAAAATTAGACCCTTGATCTAATAAAGCGCGGACCTTAAAACATCTTCCTTCAGAAGTGTGTATGTCAACCCACGCGGTCGCGAGAAGAACGGTGGGCATCGTGGTATTCTAAGGTTTGAGAGTTTGCACGCTGGCGACGGCGGCGTCGCCGACTACGACAGTCTTACTCGTGGTAGTAGACGCATTAACGCTCGAATTCGATAAACGGGAATTTTCCGCTGTGTCCTTATTTTGATCACTCTCATTGTGTAACAATGTGTTATGAGAGCGTTGACAATGAGCGCATCGAATTTTGCTCGAGCATTTCGGCGTGAAATGTCCCGCTCGCAAACAATTGAAGCAGACCCGATTCTGTCGCGCGATGACATGCCGCTATGTCGCGTTTTTCCGACGAAATTCCTCGCACTTCATTACCGAATGACTGCCGGAACAGCAAATGCACTTAATCGCGGAAAGATTATGAACGGAGGACTGCGTTTTGTCACTCTTAGAATTGACGATTACTTTAGGATTGTCGGAGAAGTCCGACAGACCTCGTATTCGAAGCGTGAGGAATTCATGAATATCCTTGTACGAAGGAAGCTCGCGACTTGACGAAATTTTTAAATTCCATTCGCTCCTTGTTTTCGAACTAAATTTTTGAGAGATGACGTAGACGAGAATGTCATCCCACTCGCGTACCGGCCGCTTTAGATTAGTGAGAGCCGCTAGAGATGCGGACACGGTATCTCTCAACTTTCGCATTTCCGCGACGTTTTCCGCCTTCATTGTCGGTAGGCACATGAAGGCGTGAATGTGAGTATGGATCAACGTAAGTTGATCATCATACTCGTCAATCAACAACTGCCAGACGGACTCATAATTAGCGTCGGAAATCTTTAAATTACTAATAATCGAGGCAGCGTCACTGATGACGCTCGTTTTGAGGTAATGAAATTTCTGCGTGTTCGAGAGAGAATCATTACTCGCGACAAGAGACTCGAAAGTATTTTTAAAACTCTCCCATTCGGAGAACTTGCCCGAAAACTTCGGAAGTGAGATCCGTGGCAACTGAAAATTGTGATTATGAATGCCCTCGCGAATTGAAGAATCAGTACTGTGTTCTAACAACGGAGATTGATTAATTGAGAATCGACTTATCGTATCGCGAAGGAGGTCGGCCGTGTCGTGGTAGATCTCCTCGGCGCTCAGGAAGTCTCCATTCAGGAAATACGAGACAGTCTTCTGCTCCTCCGAAGTTGTGGCTTGCAGCAGCTTGACGTGTAGCCCTCGACAGGAAGTCCAAAGCGTTTCCAGCGTTGCAAGACGCCCCTGCGTCTTTGCTAATGTAACATTAGCTTTCGCTAATTTCTTGAAGTTAACGAGAACTCGCTTTATCGAGTCGATTGTTTCAACTTGCGAGATGAGCAAATTTCTTAATTCTGCCATTATTTCTTCGTTAATGAGCTATTAATAGTGACTTGATCGAAGGTACCGGGCTCGTGAGCACGGTGCCGACGGCAACGAATGCGCGACGACTTTTGGTCGAATCGCGACACTGTTATGTCGCTTAAGAATACACGGGATATGCCGGGGAGCGTTACCGCTGCGCCGACGGCAACCTTTCCGCGGATGTTTTCTTATCGACAAGCGGATTTCTCCGGTGCCTGAAGAATTAACGCCGTGACGTTCAATTGCCACGCCGACGGCGTCGAACTCGCGACGATTCCCTTTTAATCGTCGCGTCCAGTCTCGATTAGCACAGTGTATGATGTTCCGGGCGTGTTATCGACGCCGACGGCAACACCTTCGCGGAATACTTCACTTCGTTCCGCGAAACACGATGTAATTTTGACTTTGAGTTCACGAATTGTTTCCACCACCAGACCCCCGCGTTTGAACCTTGTAAATGAACTCGCGAATAAGGCGCGAAGCTCAACATTTAGATTCCCGCGGGAATGTTCGTTAAAGTTAACTCCACGACGGGAAAATAACTCCACTTGTCGCTCAAGCAGAGTGAGTGAGCCCAGAGAGAAAACCCGTTGGATAGTGAACGCGACACTGTCTTTGTTCTTCTTCTGCACTCATTCGATTGTAAAACGAGGAGTCACAGTCCGACGTCTCACTGACAATGTTCACCCGTTCCGTCTCACAACGCGAATCTCGCGTAGTTTGATTATCCGTATGATCGGGTCAACGAAAAATCCGGCTCGAAGGACCAATGTTTTTCCTTTTATTTAATTTTAATAACAGTAATTTTATTGTATCATATCAGATTTGTACACTGTATCTGGTTCCGACGCTTCGGACCCTTTTGATAGACTATTGAATACGTGATTGAGGTTCGATTGTCGTTCTTCAAGAACAAAGAAAGACAGGATATCGCGGATCCGTTACAAGCATACCGCTTTATCGTTGGGTGCTCTCGACTGTGTCTTTGGGCTAACTGAACTCCCTTTTTAACCTCGGGGAAGACAACCGATTCGGAATCACGAGCTTTGCATGAACTCGGCGCGTGACACGCGCGCGGCTAATCGTGATTCGCTGGCCGGTTGACCTGTCGATGTCCGCTCGAGGTGCCAAACAAAGTCGATCGTTGGTCGAGCCTTGAGTCCCTGGCTTCGACTCGGAACCAGAACAATATATATATATATATTTTTTTTTCTCGACAGCTTTGTTCCAAGTTTTAAACAGTGATAAATATTATTATTTTGAATGTGATAATTATTAATCAGAGAAATTCTAATAAAATTCTTTTCATACCATATTCTCTTACAATTACCATAACTTTTAGGGTAAATTCTAAGAGAAAATTCTCTCAGTGTTTTGATTAATTATTAAAAATTACTTGTAAAAACGCGCGGCGCGCACAGCACACGTTGCTCGATGCGGACGGCAATAGTTTACACGGCAAAGACACGACAATCATAATCACAATCTAAGAGAATTTTTTCTTAGAATTTACCTAGAAAATTATGGTAATCGTAGGACATTATGATGTGTGTATAAGATTTAACGTTGTAGGATGCCGGGTTAACGTGATCAAATGATTGTACGCGTTTTGAAACGGTTTAAATTAGTTTATTCACTTTCTACAAGTTCGTCGCGTACCGAGACTTATGTTTCTCGGCGCTCGCTCTCTCGAGGACTGACTCGAGGGCTGCGCGAATTTCGGAGCTCGCGTAGGGCGGCAGCCGATCGGGGTCCTCGATTGGACCATCAGAAAATCAGGCGATGTACACACGCCAATTAGCGGCGAGTGTACACGTTGGTTTCACGTGTTTCCTTGGCGTAAACACTAAGGAATTTAACAAAAAAACATTCTAGAAAATTCGATCGTCCTCGAGGATTCGATCCGAAGAACGAATCTTCAACATACCGCCCGCCTCGTATGCGAACGAATGCGAAATAAACTTAAACGAAGCGGGAGCGAATCGTCGAGGAAGATGATTACAAAAAACATACAGGTGAAGACGACTCGCACTGAGAAAGTCGTCTCGAAGATTACATAACTCTTACAAGTTAGCGGCTTCATCCGTTGCGGACGCGTTAGAGTTATCACGTATTGGCAGTCGGCATAATTGCGCAATAGGTCGTTTCAATGTGGACCGTGCGGTGCGTATGGTCACAACTCGAACGAGTCCATCAGATCCGGGATGGATTTGCTGTACTCGGGCAAGCTCCCATTTGCTCGGAGGGAACACGGGACTTTTAACTAATACTAATTCGCTTATTGCGAAGTTAGGAGACTGCTTGCACCACCTGTTTCGCTGTTGAAGCGAATGTAAATAATCCTGTGACCAGGCACGCCACACGGTTTCCTGCATGGCACGGACTAGTTGCCATCGCGAGAGCCTACGCGGGTCGATCGCGAGTACCGATTCCTCCGGAACGGCTACGAGGGGCCGTCCAATCAGAAAGTGACCCGGGGTAAGCGCCGACAAGTCACCCGGGTCGTCCCTAAGCGGAGCGATTGGTCGCGAGTTAAGGCACGCTTCTATTTTACATAGAAGCGTCGCGAGTTCAGCCCTCGAAAGTGTGTGGGAACCAACAGCGCGCCTCAGATGCGTTTTAAGGCTCTTGACTCCGGCCTCCCAAAGGCCGCCGAAATGTGGAGCGGCGGAGGGAATGAAATGCCAGTTCACTCCGTCGCCTGCGAGTGCGTTTCGCAATTCAGCATCCTTCCATAAGGATTGAAAGTGTCGATGAAGTTCGTGGTTGGCTCCATGAAAATTTGTGCCGTTGTCGCTATACATGTGACGCGGCAGACCTCTTCGGCTAGCGAACTTCTGATAGGCTGCAAGAAAGCCGGGCGTGGAGTAATCTTCCACTAATTCGAGGTGAATCGCCCTTGTAGCAAGACAAACAAACAGAGCGATATATACCTTTCTGGCCTTTTGCCCTCTGCCGACGAATGAAATTACGTGGAGTGGGCCGGCGTAATCAACCCCACAATGAGTAAAAGGCGCCGAAGGGGTGACACGAGCGGCTGGAAGGTCGCCCATGAACTGAGAAGACAATTTAGCCGCGTGACGAGTGCAGACTACACATTTTCGAATGTGCGCCTTTACTGAGCTGCGGCCTCCAATGATCCAGTATCGCTGACGCAGCACACGGAGTACTAGCTGTGTTCCCCCGTGGAGCGTGGATTTATGAGCGCGATCAATTAAGAGATCGGATAAGTGATGTTTCGGAATTATTATAGGATGTTGCTCGTCATAGCTGAGCGCGGAATTCGTCAACCGCCCGCCAAGACGGAGTAAAGAGTCCTCTCCTAGAAAAGGACTCAATTTGCTCAACGAGCTCGAATGCGGCATGGTGCCGTTATTCTTTAGTGAGCGCGTTTCCCGCTCGAAGAATCTCTGTTGCAGATAGCGCAACCAGAAGATTTCCGCCCTCCTAAACTCATCGGCGTTCAGAAGGGGGAAGAGTTGGGAGCGAGACGCGCTCTTTTCTTTTACACGAAGAATAAAGCGATTCATATAGGCAGTCACGCGGACAAGCTTGGTCCAAGTGGAGAACCTATATGGGAGTTCCCATTCCTCGGCCTCTTGAACATGGAACGTCACAGGCCGTCTTCTTTCCACCGACACTTGCTGATCGGTGGCAGTGTCGAGCGGAGCTGAGACATTCAGAATCGGCCACGCAGTCGATGGCTTCTGAAGCCATCGTGGACCGTTCCACCATAGCGGGTGAGTCACGAGCTCGGAGGCGGTCAAGCCGCGCGAGGCACAGTCCGCCGGATTATCTCGAGACGGAACGTGATTCCAACAAACAGAATCCAGACAGGTATGCACTTCGGATACGCGGTTAGCCACGTAGGTGCTCCATTTTGATGGATGTTGACGGAGCCACGCGAGAGCGATGGTCGAATCCGTCCATCCGTATATTGGAATCGGAGGTAATTTCAACGATGTCAAGGTCCACTTGATTAGCCGGCTGAGGAGGACGATAGCGTTCAGTTCCAAGCGCGGGATGCTTACGGTTTTGATCGGCGCGACCTTTGTTTTAGCAGCGAGCAGAGTGATTTGAAACTTCGTTGGCGAAGGAAGCACTCGAATATAAACGACCGCCGCGTAAGCGCGGTTTGAAGCGTCGGCAAACCCGTGGATTTTGAACGCGAGGTTATTGGAATGTCGACCGGTCCAACGCGGTATTCGGACGCGGTTTAATGATTCTAAATCGTTGGTGTAGCTCTCCCAACGATCGCGCAACTCCTCTGGAAGAGGGGAGTCCCAATCACATTTGAGAAGCCATAACTCTTGTAGCAAGATTTTCGCGGTTACAACAACCGGAGCAGCCCATCCTATTGGGTCGTATAATTTTGCCGTGAACGAGAGAACGGAACGTTTCGTGTGCGTAACCGATCTCAACGGAGTTATCACGAATTTGAACGCGTCCTCTTTAGCAAGCCATGAAAGCCCGAGAATCTTCTTTTACGAGTAAGTGATCGGTGACTTCCGGCTGATGAGCCGAAAGTCCTTGAAGAAGAGAGGAGGCATTAGAAACCCACTTTCGTAGTTGAAAACCTCCCTTTTGCAGGATTTCAACTAGTTGGACACGAGCTTCTATCAATGAAGTCGTATCGTCCGCGCCAAAGAGCGCATCGTCCACGTAGAGGGACTCGCTGAGAATTGAAACAGCCGCGGGATAGTTGTCACCTTTATCTAGAGAAAGCTGTTTCAGTACCCTTATTGCGAGGTACGGAGCGGGGGCGAGCCCGTACGTTACAGTGAGAAGGCGATAGTGTTCAATCGGCCCATCGGCCGACGATCGCCATAAGATTCTTTGAAAATCCGCGTCAGACGGATGCACGAGAATTTAGCGGAATATTTGAGCAATGTCCGCCGTGTAAACAAATTGCCATTGACGCCAGCGCAATAATATAGCGGAGAGGTCTTGCTGCAGTCTCTGACCGATCAGTAAGTGATCGTTAAGCAAAGTCTTAT